TCTTTCAATCTTTTGATTATTTCATCTTTTCCTAGTTTCATCAATTCATCTAATTTTTTGATCTTTTCCCTTTCAAGGATTTTTTCTTGTTCCAATCTTTCAAGTTTTTTCTCTTCTTCATGTTTTTCTTGTTCTAGTTTTTTGATTTTTTCTTCTTCTTGTTGTTTTTCTTTTTCTAGTTTTTCCTTTTCTAATTTTTCTTGTTGTAATTTTTGTATTCTTTCTTGTTCTAATTTTTTGATTCTCGCAGCATTTGCAGCAGCTACAGCAGCCGCATTTATGTTTAATGTTTTATAATAATTAACATCATTGTCGAATCTAACAAGTGTAGCATTACAAACATTTTGAATATTGTTTAAGCTTATGAATTTTCTAAGATAATATAGATAATTATAAAATGTTTGTCTATAAGGAGGACTCCTGATATAACTTTTTAAATGATTTATCCCATTCGTACGTTCATTATTTGGATGTTTAGGACCATTGATCTTATATTCTACTTCTAAAATTCTTATAAATTTATTAACAAGTTCATTTTCTTGATTAGGATTTAAACTTATTTTAAAATAAAAAATTTATTGTTATTTTCTTTAAATTGAGAACTATAATTAATTAATTTTTGATACATGTATTTAAGTTTGATATTTTTAACAAATATATCAAAATAAATTATTAATTTATATTTAATTTGTTTAATAATTTGAGTTTTTTTTATTTTACATACAACCACCATCACACCAACCTCTACTATTTAAATTATCATGAATATATAATTCATTAAAATTTTTATACCAAATATCACTAGTTTGTTTAAAATTATCAAAGAGAATAGATTTAGAGATTTTATCATCATGATTAATTATTTTACCTGTATATTTTTTTGTAAAATTACGATAATTAGTAGCATAAAGCATATGTGTATGCCAGCAAAGATTTATATCTATTGTTGGAACAAGATTTTTTTTATTATTTTTAAATAATAAAAGAAATTTTTTATATTTTTCAATTGCTTGTAAATGGTTAATATCATAATTAATTATTTTATCTGTAAATTTATATTGACGAATTACAGCATCTACGAGTTTTGAGGTAAATGGTAATTTATTTTGAATATTTAAAATCCATGGTTGATTAGAGTATTTTTCCCAAAATTTTACTGATTTGAAATATTCAATATTATTTTCATTCTGAAATTTATATATTCTTTCAAGTGGAAATTTATATTCTTGTTTGTATAATTCTTTCATATCTTTAAAATATTTTAAAGGTGAGAGTAAATGTGCATGCCAAATTTGACATACATCAATTGGTGGAACAGGAATATCAACATTATCATCATTATTAAATTTATCATTTAATAAATTTAACCATATATTGTATCTTTTTTCAGCTTCTGATAAAAATAATCTATTGATATCATCATTTTCATGTCTTAATGTTTTGAATATTTTTAATAATGATAAATGTGCATTTAATGTATCGCTATTAATTACATCATCAATATTAATTTGGTTGATTTCGATTATTATATTTTTTTTGTTTAATTGTAATTTATTTTTAAAAGATATATGATTGTGATCTGACATTTTAAATAAATAATGATTTGTAAATTAAAAAATAATGAAATATGAAAAATCCATGTATTTATAGATATAAATATATATTTTTTACCAATAAATTTATGAATTTTAATTATCAGATAAATTTTTATCCCAAACCATAAACCAATTAGATTTTTCCTTCACCAAATATTTATTTTTTTTACTTTTATCTTTTTTAACAGGAGATTTTAATGATTTTGATTCGATTATAGGATTTTCAACATCAATGTCTACTATAGTAAATTTATATTTATTTTCCGAATATCCATATCCACCCCATTCTTCAGCAGTTTCAATTTTAAAAATATCATTATCAGTATATTTGATTATTTCAAATCTTGTAGCTCTTGAATATACATTCGTATCGTATGGAATATCAAAGAATAATTTTATTTGAGCTACTTCATCATTACTACTTCGTCTTACAACATCAAAAGTAAAACTACCTTGTACTCCAGACATGCTATTTTCTCTGCCTTGAACAATTTTAACTGATGTTTGTCTTGGGTATATTATATCATTTTTTTCAGTTTCATAACTTAAATATCCCCATTTAAAATCATTTTTAAATGGTTTTAATAAATATAGATCTTGTATATTATGTATTTCAATGATGCAACTAACACAATTACCACCCATTTATAAAAATGTTGGTTTGTTTCTTTAAATAAAAAATCATTTTAGAAGCGAATTTTTATATTTATATAAAATTCATTAAAATAATTATTATCTGATAAATTTTCTTGTGTTGTAAAAAGGATTTTTATCATCTGTTTTGCAACCATCGTATTCATCTCCGAATATATCATACCAAAAAATCCAATAGTATTTATCAACAAAATGTTTAAATTCGTTATAATCAATTGAAATAATTTGTCTATTTTTAAACTGAAAGTAAAAGATTTTTAATAAGATATAAAATATTATCGTAAATAAATTTTTACTTACTATTTGATAAATATCAAAAACATATTCTCTATTTGATTTTTTTTCTAAATAAACATATATATCATTTGCGTTGATTTTATTTCCATTATTACAACATTCGTTAAATGCCTTTTTAATTCCTTCTTCAGGAACAAAATTTTTTTCCATTATGAATTGAGTGAAATATTATTGAATTAATTATATTTATAAGTTTATTAAAGAATCAGAATTTATGAATTAAGAATTTGATTTTATTACATCGATTAAATATGAATATAAATAAAATAATCATATAATAAAATTATGATCTATCAAATAATAGTTCATGAATAACAGGAAATAATTCATCGGGAAAAATATCAATATATGATATATTTTGAAAAAAAGAATTTGACCAATCAAGTTCTAACAGATATTTATATTGACTGATGCGAACATATTTAGTACCAAAATTTATGATATGAGATAATTCTTTGAATACTTGATCTTGAACGTAAGATTTAGTAGATATTTCTTTGATTTCTTTATGTAAATCTTTGAGTTTTTGTAATTCTTCTTCAATATCTTTTGAAGTAGACATTATGGTTTTGTAAATTTAAAAAAAAATAAAAACACGATGATTTTATAAAAATATATTATTATTAATATTTTATAATTATTGAATGAAATAAATTAATAATTAAAAATATATTTAAATTACAAGATTTATTTAAATTATTAATTAAATTTAGAAATGTCAGAAATCAATATTCATCGTGTTTTTAATTTTTTTCAGAATAATGAAGAAAATACTAAAACAACATGTAATTTTTGTTTTAAAGAATATGATATTCCACTTAATATATCTACAGCTAAAAGTCATATTTCTTCAAAACATCCTGAAGAATGGAAAAATGTAAGACTTTTGACAAGAAAAAGAAAATCTATTCAGAAAAATATAAATTTAAATCAAGAGAATGATAATAATAATAAATTTGAAACACAAAGTAATACGAGTTCAAATTCTTTTAAATCTGTAAAATATATTGGTAAAGATGTTGAAATATCTTTACCAAAAGAAATGACTATTGAACATAATATAGAATAGTTTTATAATATTTTAAAATAAATTTATTTATATATTTAAAAACGAAAACTAATCTCAAGATAAGAAAATTCTTGTAAAATAACGTAAAATGCTCACATGAAATAAAATTAATTTTAAAATAAGAAAATGCTCATAAAATAACGTAAAATGCTCGTTTAAATGAAATTAATTTAATTATATAACAAATTTAATATGAATTAAATCATTGGATTTAATAAATTTGCTATTGTAGGAGTGATGATAGGAGTTTTTTTATTTAATTTTGGTTTCGGTCCTCGTTTTTTAGTTGATTCAACATATACACATTCATGATTATATCGTTTACAATTTGTACATGGGGTTTCACCTGAACATTTATTTTTTTTAACTCGACAATTAGTACATGCTAATCTCACATAACATCGATCTCTTTTTCTTATTTCACTTGTTATTTCTGATCTATTAGATTGAAAAGTTTTTGTCAAATGTTCATGATATGGATGATATGTTTTGAAATATGAATTAATATATTGATAACAATATAAACAATGATTTGGATTATTATTCGAATTCATTTTTAGTATCTTTAATTTAAATAGATTTAACAGATGAAATAAATTTAATATTTTATTTGAATAGAAGAAATACTGAATTTTATAGATTTTCTTTTACTTTGTTTTCTAATTAATAGTTTTCTAGATAAATTTTTTTCTTAGAGAATATTCTATTAACGGAATAATGTTTTCATCGGATAAATATAGATCTTAGAATCATCTATGGAAAAAATATTATTAATTAAATAAAGCATTCGAGTATAGAATTAAATATAAATCAAGTTTAATTCAAGATAAATGATTTTAATTATTAATTATTAAATTCAATATTTATTTATAATAGAATAATATATTTGAGATATTAATAAAATAAATACATCCAAAATATTAAAATTCTAAATTAAATTTAAAAAAAATAACTTGATCAAAATTTAATCAAAATTAAAAACGAAATTTAATTAGAGCATTTTATCTTTATCAACGAGCAGAATTAAATTTAAATAATCAAAATTTAATTTGAGCAGAATATGTTTTAATATCGAGCAGAATTTATTAAGAATTAAAAAAAAATTAAAAGATATTTAATTTGAGCAGAATACATTTTAATATCGAGCAGAATTTATTAAGAATTAAAAAAAAATAAAAGATATTTAATTTGAGCAGAATACGTTTTAATATCGAGCAGAATTTATTAAGAATTAAAAAAAAATTATTTGAATTCGATTTTACATCTTCCACTAATAGAAATCTTATTATTTTCAATTTTGATTTCGATTTTCTCATTATTTTCAATTTCGATATTTTTAATTATGTTAAGATTTCTATTTGTAAAATTATTATTCAAATTTTCTTGAATATTATTTTGAATTTCTTGATTATTTTTTTGATTATTTTCTTCAGTCCAATTATCAGATAATTCAATATTACTATTAGAATTTTCTTCTTCTTCTTGTACAAGAACATTTTTTTCCTTATTTTTTCTTTTGTATCCCTTTTCATTTTTTCGAATTTTTTTCCATGTATCAGGATGTTTAGTTACAAAATGACTTTTCAAAGTTGTTGATTTTGGTTTTATTCGATAAATAAAACCACATTCTAAACAAGTCAATGAATTATTAGGGTTGGTCCTGAAATGATCCCAAATAGGATGATTAGCATCAGACATGATTATTAATTTAATCACCAAAATTTATTTAACATTATTATATACTAAAATTTAATTATTAATATCATTTTAATATTAATAATTACATTATTAATATATTTATTTTATTTATATATAAAAATAAATTTACTCGAGTTTAATCATGAAATAAATTAAATATATTATTTTATTAATTTAAATTTAAAATGAACCAAAAAAAACGTGATGATATCTGGAATTATTTTCATGATAATTCTAATAATACAAAATATATTTGTAATGAATGTGAAAAAAATTACTCTGTGAATACAAGTGTTTCGGTATTGAAAAGACATTTTGAAAATAATCATGAAAAAGAGTTCAAAGATTTGGATTTGAAAAACAAAAAAAGAAAATTTGAAAGAAGAATTCAAAATGGAAACCGAAGTCAGAAGATATCAAAAATAAAGAAAGAAAAGAAAAATGAATTTGTGATAAATTATAATGTTGATGATAAACAATTAATTGAAGGCAAATTTTCAGAAATAATGATAAAAGATGTTTCAATAGAGAATATTGGTTTATTTAAACAACAGATAAGATTCAAATCGATTAATTTTAATATTTAAAACATGATTTTATTCATAGATAATATATTCATATAAATACTTAAAATAAAAAAACCTATTTAAAGGAAAAAATTCTAAATATCTACATAAATATATCACGAATTATATCATATATAATAAAACATATTTATCATAATTATAACATGTTATAAAATAATTAAATAAATCAAATATTTGTAAAAAATTATTTAAATTTAAGTCTAAAACCACCTCTACTAGCTTTAATAGGAATATTACCAATCTCAACTTCAATTTTTTCATGACCTTCAAATTCGATACTATCTATAAGATTAATATAAGAAATAGATTTTTCTTCATTTTTATCTTTTGAGATAGTTTCGATATCATTATTTTCATTATTTAATTCATCATTAATATGATGGACAGAAGGTTCTTTTTCTTGAATCATAGAATTAATAAATTCATCATTTAAACGTTCAGCTACAGAGAAAATTCTTTCTCTTTCTTTTTGAATTAAGAGATTTTTCTTTTCTTGATATTTAGCTTTACGTCCTTTTTTATTTATTCGAATAGAAGCCCATACCAGATCATGTTTTCCCATATAATGACCTTTTAAAGTACTTTGATTTGGGTTTTCATAAACATGACCACATATTTTACAGATGCAAGAATTATTGAGACCGACATCATATTGATTCCAAATAGGATGTTTAAGATCAAACATGATTGATTATTCTGATACATTATCAAAATTCATCGAATGTTATTATATAAGAAATTTTAATTATTAATAAATCTCAAAATATTTGAAATAAATATTAATTGATTATTAATTAAAAATTGTATTTATTAACATAATATTTTTTTTCAAACGTTTAATAAATTATAAAAAAAATGAATAAAACATTTTATTGTTTGTTGTCTATAACCGTGATTACCACAATTTTATTTCTTGGATTATTCTTTGGAATCGGATATCCAGAAATATTGAGAAACAACTTTACGAAAACTACTTGTGATGCTACTAGAAAATGGAATATTCCAAAATATTGTTGTTATGAAAAATGTGATAAATGCATATATGCACCATCAAATGCTACTAGTTGTTATTCTTTAAAGGATAAATGGAATTCTATTGATCCTACAACATGTAATAACGGATGTCCTTCTATTGATGATAGTTCTTTATGTGGAAATGGATATCAATGTTGTTTAGAGAGTTATAGACAAGTATGTCCAAAATCAGGATCATCATATTATACACAGCATATTTGTGAATCATGGGTTACAGATGTTAGATGTCAGATCATATGTCCGTTTTGTCATAATGTGATCATTGAAGTTAAATATAACACATTTCAAGGCCTTAAAATCTCAAATAATACAAAATTTTTTGATAGTGATCAAAATGATAATAGTATAAATAATTATATGGATAATTATTCACTCACGAAATCTTTTGAATGTTTTTATGATCCAAAGAATCTTTATGATGTTTTTTTTGATGTGGATTATACAACAAGAACATGGTCAATTATCGGATTATCTATATTTTTATTATACTTATCTTTGATAAGTTTAACTACATATCTTTCGATAAAATATCATGCTTTTACAAAAGATCATTGGTTGAATTTTATTTTATGTCTGTGGTTAGGTACTGTACCACCAATTATATTTATTTCTGTTTCACATACTCCAAATGTGATTGCAAATATTTTGTATGGGATATCATTGATGTTGATCACGATTTTTTGGGCAAATGTTCCATTGGTTGAATGGAGCAAAACAATCGATAGTAATCATAAAGTATGGATTTTAGTCACAGGAACTTTTGTATTACCTTTATTATTCTTTGGTTTCTTAGGAATATTTTATGAGAATTTTATATTTATCGGAATAGCTATATTTGTATTTATCATGTCTATTATTTCATCTATTTTTATAAATTCGTGTTATGATCCTGAATATTTTAAAGAAGTTTTACTCAAGATTTCTTCTTTTACTAAGAAGAGAAAAGAATTAAATTATCATATTAATGACGAAATTGAAGAAGATTTACCACCACCACCATATGATCAAGCAATTATGAAAAAATAAGAATATGATTAAATATGTTTATAAATTATACCAGTTTTAAATATAAATTATTATCATAAATAAATAAATATCATTAATTAAAATATTATTGAATAGTTTTAAATTTTATTTGTATAAATATTTAATAAAAATTATTTATAAAGATAACATAAGATTGAAACATTATTATTCAAATAATAAATTTAATAATAAAAGTTATTAATTTTAATGATATTTTATTATTAATAGAATTAGATCTAATTACATATTTTAATAATTATTTGATTTAAATTATTAATTATTTATCTTTATAAATAATTTTAAAATATATCTTTAATCAATTTAAACAAAATGTCTAAAATCATTCCTAAATTTATAGAAACTAATACATACAGAAAATTTCTTTTATTTGAAGAAAATGATAAAATCTTAAACATTGATGATTTTAGATATGAAGAAAATAATGATGAGGTCAAATTTAAAGTTATTATAACTGAAGGCGAATATAAAGGACAAGAAGCTTTTTTGATTGATACAGATAATAGTTATCATATATATTATAAAGATAAGAAATATATGATCATAGAACCTGATGAATTTACTTATGGTCACGGAAGTTACTCTGGTGCTGATGGAACACATCATTATCTTCTTTTGATGTTTAAAAATGTACAATTGGATGAGATTCCAGATGAATTCACATGTAAATTCAACGGTAAAGATATTAAAAAAACCACATGTTGTGGTAAAGAATGTTTTGATATAACCGATATCGGTGAATACATTGTTTATAAAGATAGCAAACTCCATCGTAAGATCATCACTCATCTGATTTGGAATCATTATTATGACGATGATGAACAAAATCTTATTATTACATATCTTAAACAATAATTTGTATTTTTTATGATTATTAATTATTCTATTTTATAAATAAATGAATATTTTATTTGAATTTAAATTTAAATTTAAAAAAAAAATGAATCAACATATTCTTGATTCGAAATTGATTACTTTAATGTTTAAAGAACATGAATACGATTCTAATTATAAATATCTTTTTTTTATGAATAATGAAGAGATTTTGAATCTTGATAATTTTAAATACGAAGATGATTATATCAAGAATGTATCACAGATAAAAGTTTCTCTCTCTGAAAAACATTCAGGAAATCAAGCTTTCTTGATTCATAAGAAACACACATATAAAATTTATTATAATGATCGATTTTTTATGGAATTAGAACCAGATTTATACGATTTTCATCATATTATAGATACAGAAAAAGATCGTCATTTTCTTTCTATGTCTTTTGATGGTGAACAAATTAAACATGTTCCAGAAGAATTTACCTGTAAATTAAATGGAGAAGATGTACTTAAAACCTGGTTTTGTGATACAAAATATTTTAACATAAGTGAAATTGGTGAATATGATATTTTCAAAGATGGGAAATCTTATTGTAAGATAATTACAGAGAAAACTTGGAATTATCGTGTCGAGAATAAGCAAAGGAATTTTATTATTTCATATCATTAATTTATTTATATTTAAAATTACAAAATAAAAATATATAAATTAACATATGGATTATTTGTTAATATTTTAAAATTTTCAATATTTAAATTGAGTATTCAAATAGATTTTAAAATGGCTTTATCTGATGTTCAAGTGAATGAAATTCTTGAAAAACATATGAAAATTTTTGAATCTAATATTTTATATACAAAAATGTATACACATCATGAAAATATAAGAAATCATTTAAAGCAATACATTATTGGTACTTGTTCAAAAAATACATTATATAATGTATTATATCCTATGTATTTTGCTTTAACTTGTGGTCATTTAGATACTCCTCTTAATAGAAGTAATATTAATAAATATTTTAATATTAAAATTAACGCAATTGATAATGATATTAATATATACAAAACACAAAATAAAAATATTGCTATAGAAAATGCCAAAAAAACACAAGAGATGAATCAGATAAATCTTTTAACTACTCAATTGAATCAAGAAAAATCAAAAACTAATACATTGAGTAGTCAATTAGATCAAGTAAAAAATAACAATCAACAATTCATAAATCAGATAAATACTTTGACAAATCAAATAAATGAAGAAAAAAATAAGAATCAACAATTAACTGATCAAATACAAGTATTTAATAATCGATTAACCCAAAAGAAAGATAAAATTCAAGAATTAATATCTTTATTAAATAAAGAAAGGGAAGAATTAAATCAAAGAGATTTAAATAGACTAAATATTCAATCAGAACAAGAAAGAATATTGGAAGAAAAATCAAATCAAAAAAAAATATTAAGAAATAAATTAAATAATTTCAAGTTATTGATAGATGAGATAATAAATAATCTGGAAATCAGATATTCAGAAAATAAAACATACGAAGAAAAACTGAATGATATTATCGATTTCAGTAAATTCATAAACAAAGATAAAATTATTAATTAAAAATGATACCTGTTGTAATTATTGGAATTCTAGTCGTAGCCAATATCATTGTATTGGGTATTAAAATATATCAGGATATAGAAAAATACAAGAATAAATAAACAATTATTAATATAATATGTTTTATAAATAAATTTTATATTCAAGAATAAAAGAAAATTTTTTGAAAATGTTTAATACACTATTACCAGTAGAATTAATTTTAATGATATTTTCTTTTTTGAGTTATGATGATATGTTTTATTTAGGGTTAGTCAATAAAAGATTTTATAGATTTATTAATGGACATTATTTATCATATAGAAAATTAGATATTTTTAATAAGATATTATCATATATGAGTCCAAGAGAACAAAATGAAATACCTTACGTGAATGAACATATTAGTTTTATTCAAAAAAAAAGAATCGAGAAGAGATTAAAATTCAAGATAAATGATGTATTTTATTCGATGAAATCCAAAAAATATTATCAATATGTATTGATGAAGAACGAAACAGTTTATTTTAATGTAAACGGAAAAAGAATACAT